CAGCTTCAAAAAAAGTTTGGGGGGTGGGGTGGGTGGGGAGAAACAAAACCAAAACTTCAACTCCTGGCATATTCTCCGGGCTGCACGGTACATTCCTCGGAAGGGTTACTTTCTCTCTCCCTCCCCTGAAACAAGAAACGGGCTCTTAGCAACCTCTTGCCAAAAGTGCAGCCCTTTTAACAGCTCGGTTTATAAAAAGAAAATTGAAGTCTTGTGACTTTGTGATTAAAAACCTGTTATCAAGCCGCCCGCCCCCCCATTTTAAGTGCAACATAAAGTGCAACGAACTATATACAGCAGCTCAGAGATCGTTCATCCGGTCCAGTTTCAAATCCAAAAAAATCCGATCGTTCTGGGTTGCAAATATTCCTGTTATATTCACAACTGGGAAACATTTTTTCTTTTTAAACTAACAGCTCCCAGACACAAGTCGCAATGATGTTAAAAGCTGCCAGGAAAGAAATGATATTTCTTCTCATCTCATCTCAAACGACTTAAAAACCATTTCAAGAGAGTGTAAAAAGAACCTGGTAAAAATCCTGGAGCGTAAAATATGAAATATGATTTTGGTTTTAAGTGAAGAGCAAAAAGTCCCCTTTGTTGTTACAGTAAAAAACACCAGCTGAACATTCAGTTTATTCCGTTCAGATGGGGGGAGTTTTAAATGAACGGGAAGGCACTGTATGGCAACTGCAAAATAACGGAGCCAATGAGACCTGCATTATTACCACCAGTATTGCGAGGAATGTAAAAAAAGGGGCCCTTGATAAATAAGAAACAGAGGCATCCGCATTCAATGCCCTTTTAACATATGGCCCTTTGTAATGCTTCCGGTCAGCAATTAAGGAACCAAAAGTCTGGGAACTGAAGAATCGTTGGAGGGGCCCACCCCTCTAAAAAAAAACAAAAAAACACAGCCCAAACAAACCCCCGACAAGAAAATTCACTGTGCATTAGTGCAGGAACAAATAAAAAGACCAGCAGTGCAAACGTGAGAAAGGCAAGATATCTCCCGTTCAGTCCTTCCGACGGGTTCCCCCCCCCCAGCTCGGGGCCTGGCACCGGCAAGCATGCCTGGTCTGTCTTCCTGCGGCAGGTAAACAGAAGAGCAACTGCAAGCAGCTCTCGGCGCCCTCGGAAAAAACGCTGCTCTAGCTGGAGTCTCTGTTCTTCTGGTTGCGCATCAGTGGGCGGTGGTGATGCAAGATCTCCATGGAATGTTTCCAGTGCCAGCAGGGGCGACAGAAGTACTTGAAGCAGATCTAGGGAGGGAGATTGGGGGGGAGAGAAGGAAGGCAAAGAGTAAATGTAAAGCCTGCTTGAGCCAAGTGGGGGTGGGGAAGAGGCAGGCCATTTGTCTTGAGCCTCCTATTTAGACCAGTGTTCCCTCTAAGCTGAATTAGTGTGAGCTAGCTGACAGTTTTCTAGCCTCCGGCTCACACATTTTTTTTGTCTTAGCTCAGGAAGGACGACTCCAGAGCAAACTAATTTATGCAGTGGCCAAATTGGTAGCTCACAACTTTAATGCCAGTAGCTCACAAAGTAGAATTTTTGCTCTCAGGACTCCACAGCTTAGAGGGAGCATTGGTTTAGACCCTGGCTAATTTAAGATACTGGATAAACATTGCAAATCTGCTTGTTATGTGCATCCCCTGACTGGGCAAAATGAGACCCTTTCTCCACTCAGAGCTGCAAATTCAAGCAAGCAAGGCAGTTTGGTAAAAAGACGGAACTTTTTGTTGGTAACCGACAGATTTTGTCGCTCTTTTGTGGCACCTTGTTTTGCTGTCGTGTGTTCTCATATTTTTATTATTATTATGGATAGGGGCCTGTCTGGGCCCCTAAAGGAGCTCCACACACACTTCACTGCCAACAAGGCCGGAGGTGGTGAGACCTTCCATCAAACTGCAGCTGACTTATGGCGACCCTGGATGGAGCAGCGGTGGCTCAAGTGGTTAAGACGCTGAACTGCAGGCTGTGGAAGGTCGGTAGTTCAGCAGTTCGAGACCCGAGTTGCCGCATGACGGAGTGAGCTCCCGTCTCTAGTTCCAGCTCCTGCCAACCTAGCAAGAAATTGCAAGTAGATAAATAGGGACCACTTCGGTGGGAAGGTAACAGCGTTCCGCGCGCCTTGGTGTTTAGTCATGCCGGCCACATGACCATGGAAACGTCTTCGGACAGCGCTGGCTCTTCGGCTTTGAAACGGAGATGAGCACCGCAACCCTAGAGTCGGATTCGACTGGCTTTCGAGCAAGGGAACCTTTACCTTTACCTTTTATGGCGACCCTGCAGGGTTTTCAAGGCGAGAGATGTTTCCCCCTTGCCTGCCTCTGTGCAGCAACCCTGGGCTTCCTTGCTGGTCTCCCATCCAAGTACAAGCCGGGGCCGACCCTGCTTCGCTTCTGAGATCTGAGGAGACTGGGCTAGCCTGGGCTATCCAGGCCAGGACTTGCAATGCCGGCTGCAGCTGCTGCCCCCCCCCCCCCCCCCCCCCCCGCAAAGTGGAGTATTAGCAATTTATATGTTGCTTCCTCCCAGGGAAACAAGTGAGAAACAAAAGATTTGAGAAACGGAAATTCGAACATTTGCTTGTCTGTTTTTTTTTTTTAAATTCTAGGGGTGCTGCTACATTCACAAGGGGACCAAACGCCAGGCCTAAACACAACCAAAGCACCATTAGCTAGGCCAGTGGTTTTTAACCTTTACGTATTTAGCATATTTCTATGCCCCCTCTTCAGAGTCCTGCTCAAGGCAGCTTGCTATTTAAAAAAACCCCACAATATAAAACACAAGCCATTAGATCATCATCAGCATAAAAACTATCCCTGAAACAAGAGCAGACCCTTAGAAAACACCCCCCAATTAAAAGCCTGGGTGCAATGATGTGTGTTTCGGCCTGTTGCCTAGAAGAAAGTGAAGCAGGGGCCAGGTAAGACTCAAGGCGGGGGGCATTTAAAGGGTGCGGCCCACCACCTCTAGCCCTGACCCTGCCGGGTCCCCCCCCCCCCCCCTAACTGTAATATCTCAGGCTGGGTTAGAGCAGGCTGACTTGGTTCAGGAGATAACAAATGCTTCTAAGTGGGAGGGTAGGGATGCCAGCCTCCAGGTGGGGCCTGGGGATCCCCCGGAAGTACAGCTCATGTCCAGACTACAGAGATCAGTGCCCCCTGGAGAAAACAGTTGCTTTGGGGGTGGGGGTGAATGCTACAGCACTGTATCCCACTGAGGAGGTCCCTATCCTCCACAGGCTCCACCCCCAAGTCTCCAGGAATTTCCCAACCTGGAGCTGGCAACCCTACCCAGCCACATGTGGCCAGGGGGGAACTGGCAATCTTAACAATAGGGCATAGTTCGAGGCACCTTTAATCCTGTAAGTGGGATGCAAAGCTCACACATTTCCAGAGGTCCACCAATACAAGAGTCGGGGCCCTTATTTTTAAGGGAGCATCGGTCGTTTCAAGGAAAGATGGGATTCTACCTGCTACTGAGTAGCTCAGCGATTCAGTCGGCTGTGGAATCACTGTAGGGTGGCCAGCCCCCTGGTGGAAGCAGGGGAAGCCCCACTTTTGCAGGCTCTTGCCCGCCCCCAACTGATTTTTTCGGGCCTACTTCCAGTTTCAGGCCTACTTCCAGTTGGGTGTGATGCTCTGGTTTTTGGGCAAAACTCTATGGTTTTGTTAAGTCGCTCACTTAACAAAGAAGTCGGAGAGTGATTCAGCAAGAACACAGCTTTATTCTTCAACTCGAACACAACTCCAACACGGATCAACATCTGATAGCCAGAACAGCCTTCACATTGCAGCTGTCCTGCTTTTAAACATTCCCGGCTAATGTAGCCACACCCACTGTACAAATACCAACCAACACGGTTGTTCATATAAGGACCAATCACGGACGTTCCCGCTCAGGGAGCTTGCTGTGAAGTGATTGGCTTGTTACTTCCTGGGCTAGCGATACGATTGGATGTATTTGGATCCTAGCCCAGGATGAAGCTTAACATTACAAGTCAATGAGATGTTTCACAACATATCATGCATTCAAGGCAGCTTTGAATACACTACAGGTTTGAAGCCGAATTTACCACAGAGTTTTGCCCCCAAACCAGAGCGTCACACCCAACCAGAAGTAGGCCCCAAAATACCCAACATTACTTCCGGTCTCCTGGAAGGATGTTGGAAGACCCTGGCTGGCCAGGTAAGTCTACCTGGCAACCCTAAATAACTGAGGACGGGGCTTACAATGAGGGAGGTAGGTTTTCTAGCAGTACATGCAAGCTAAAGAACAGCGCTATGCATCCCCAGCTTGGAAAACGAGAGAAGGGAAAAGGGGCCTCACTTGGTCTCTGCAGAAGAAGGGACCTGGCTGAGACCTGCACTCTTGACACAAGGCGTCTTCCAGATACGGATCGATCTGAACCTAGGGAAGAAGAAGAAGAAGAAAGGGGAGACGGGGAAGTCGCAGCCAGTTAAAGTGTGAAGGTAACAGGAGTCCCCGGGAGGGCGGTTACAGTGCACACTGCAAACTTTTATGAAAAACATAGAGTTTTCCCCTCAAATAGCTGTGCCCCGCGTCATGACGTCACTTCCCTGTGACGTGCATGTGGCGCGCCGGGAGACAGCACAAAGTCCCCCGCCGACAGAGGTGCGTTAATTTGGCAACTCTAACTGGAAGTCTAGAGTTCCCATTTGCCCAGTTATGGCGGGAAACCTCCAGGTAACCGGGTCCTTGCCTGCCAGTGCTCACTGATCAGTGGATGGAAATTGAGGCCAAAGGAGGCGGTGGGGGTGGGGTGGTGATTGTCCTGGAGAGAAAAATTAGAAAAGAAAACGAGGACTCGCCTTCTTACAGGATGTTCTGACCACAGAATTCCAAGTGATTCCTAGAGCTACCTGGAAACGACCAGAAACTAGAGTCACTTCCAGGTAGCTCTAGGAATCTCCAGGAACTCTATGGTCAGAACTTCCTGTAAGTAGACAAGGCCTCATTAAAAAAAAAAATTCTCACAGGATGTACCCCCCCCCCCGGCTAGTTGCCAGGCACTGCCTAGCAATCCTACTAGTCTATTCCTCTGCTGAGTTGCTTTGCTCTTAGTGTACTGCCTTCTGCTTTTGGAATGCAAAAAAAGTTTAGACTGTTTACATATTGTCATGTCTGATACTTTTTTGCACTGCTTCTCCTATTTTTGTACCCCAATTGCATTGCTTATCTGCTGACTCACGTGGTCTAACCTGTTCTGTTTTATCTTGTGTAACCCTGCATTCAGTCTCAGCAAGACAGGTGGGCAAAAAAATAAAACGTCTCCAACTAGAATCAGGGAGACCTGGGTTCCAATCCCCACTGTGCCATGAGACCTGTTGAGTGACTTTGGGGAAGTTGCACTTGGCTTCATCTACCCCACAGAGCTGTTGTGAGGATAAACTGGGCGTGCCACCCCAAGGACATGTTTTTGGACAAGCATGACAGGCTCAGTGAGACTTTGCATTTGTTCACTTCCCTAGAGAATTCTGCCATTTTAACTGTACCCAGAATGTGACCAGCAAAAGCTGTCACATGGGACAAGGGTGGTATTCTCTTCACATCCATGAAAACATAGCAAGCCTACTTGGTTTGCACCCGAAGCTATCCTGTATCTTACAGCTTTCCGAGAATCAAGACAAAACATGAACCCGATACTTGTTACAGATCCACAAGCTCACACCCTTTGGTGAAGGCTTCTGGAGTACTTTCTCAGAAGAGGAGGAGTCTGGATTTATACCCCGCCCTTCACTATCCAAGGGAGTCTCAGAGCGGCTTACAAACTCCCTTCCCTTCCCCTCCCCACAACAGACACCCTGTGAGGTAGGTGGGCCTGAGAGAGCTCTGACAGAAACTGCTCTTTTTCAAGAACACCTCTGACAGAACTATGGCTTGCCCAAGGTCATCCAGCAGGTGCAAGTGGAGGACTGGGGAATCAAACCCGGTTCTCCCAGATTAGAGTCCGCGCACTTAACCACTACACCAAACTGGCAAATGCTGGGAGATTTTGGGGTCAGTGCATGGGGTGGGCAGAATCTGGAAGGATATGACATCACTTCTGGGTGACACTCTAGGCTGCCTTCCCTAGTCTCTATGGTCTTTAACAGAGACTAAGGGAAATTGCTAGTAGAGGTAGGGTTGCCAGACTGCCCGGTATGGGCAGGAGACTCCTACTTTGGGCGCTCCCCCCCCCCAATCACCCCCTTACTGGCAGGAACCCAGAAGTCATCGAGAGGTGCCTACAAAAACCAGAAGTGATGTAGGCAGGTTGGAGATGTCCGGGAAGGGGACACTCTGGTTTCTGGGCAAAACTCTATGATTTGAAGCAAATTCCACCACAGAATTTTGCCCCAAAACCAGAACATTGCCCCTCACATCCCTATATCATTTCCTGTTTGCGTATGCACATTGCAACGCTCCTCCCCAGTCCCCCACAAAAAACTCTAAGTAGAGGCCGTTTTTCCTCCTGCTCCTCAATTCCTCAGGGGCTGGGGGAGGGTAATTGGGGACAGAGGCAGGTAACTCCCAACCCTGGGTGGGTAAATAGGAGGCCTACTCTAGAGAGCTTTAGGTTTTGCCCAAACACTCCCTAGGTTTGACAGAAAATCAGGGAAGGGAGTGGATGAACACCGCCCCCCCCACACACTCCAGGAGAGAACTCACACTGTTCCATGAGAACCAGAGCTGTGTTCTGCTCACAAAACATACTAGGCAAAACTAAGCTTCTGGGACATGCTTGCTTGCACGCCCCACACAACTGGGTCCTCTCCAGAACCCTTCCTCAAGCCAAGGCAAGCTTATTTCAACAACTGTGCAAGAAAAGAGTCTTCATTTTTCTAGGATTTTTTCTTCTTCTCTCCTCCACCACTGTTCCGCCTGCATCCTTGAAAAAGGTTCCCTCCCTCTGCAGGCTGGGGGGCCACAAAAGTTTTACTTTTCTCTGACTTAGGAGGGGCACGGGATGTGCTGGATCGTGGACAATCAAGCGCACCAAACCTCTTCAGCAGGCGCATCCGTACCTTTTTCGTAAACTTGGTCGTTTTGATCTCCACGAAAGCGGCGCTCACTGCCTTCAGGTAGCTGTGCTGATTGTTGAAGGTGACCCGGCCGGATCCTGAAACCAAACCCATCCATTAGCGTCATGCGCACAACTTGTGATGCCCGCCAACTGCAGCGGCGGCTGTCCAAGATACATTATGAGTCACCACACATGATGCTCGGAAACGCCTGGCAGACTGGGAAATGTGCGGGGGGGGGGAGGGTTTACCACAGCTTCGGCGGGACACCCACCCTCCCTGCCAGTGATGAGCAAGTCGCCACCTACTGAATCTTGACAAAAACTATGCCTGACATAATTTTGACATGGATTTATGTAGGGTTGGCCCTATTATGAAAAGCAAAAAAGAGGACATATCCCCCAACTACTTCAAACAAGTGATCTCTATGGCAAATCTCGTTTTAAATACCCCCTATTATTGAAGCTGTGATAATTGCTCCTAGCCAGGAATACTCCTAATCTTCCAACCCAAGAAGAGGACATTTTCATCAGATTTTTTAAAAAAGAGCCCAAAAGAGGACAGACACCAAAAAAAGAGGACATATCCTCCAAAAAGAAGACATCTGTAAGGCTGCGGTCACACACACTAAATAATCCACTTTCAGTGCACTTTCCAACTGGATTTTTACTGTGTGAACTGTTGGATCCAGTTGGAAGGTGCATTGAAAATGGTTTGAAAGTGGATTACTTTCTGTGTGTGCCCGCAAGCCCTAGTAACCCTAATTTATAAGGCTGCTCCAAAGATAGAACAGGAGCAAGAGACAATGAGCAGGCAAATCCACCTATTGGGAGGGGGGGGAAGCAACTCATGAAGGGGACTGCAAACCACCCACTCATTCCCTGCCTCACCCTGCCAATAGCTTTAGCCTTGTCCTAAGAGCAGTGGTCTCTGATGTGTTGTTGTTTTGCTACGGCTCTGAGCTAGTGCAATAAAATGAATTGATCTCTGATGCCTCGCTCACTGACTCATTTCCTAGTGCTCTACTGCTTCTTCCCCCCCAAAGCAAAGACAGCAGTCTTGGCTCCAGAAAAGTCCTTCACCTCTATAAGGAGGTGAAGCATTTGGAAGCAGCAGCATGGTGCAGTGGCTAGAGAGTCCGATTATAGGATCTGGGAGACTCTAGTTTGAACCCACACTCCACCATGGAAAGTTCCTGAGTGACCTCGGGCCAGCCACACACACTCAGGCCGTTTCCCCACAAGCGCTGCTCCACGCTCGCTCTTCCCTTTTGCCCCATGGTACGTGTCAATTTCACATAAGCTGCTGCGTGGAGCATCTCCCCCCCCCCCAGCTTCGCATGATTTCCCCCACATCTACTCAATCCTCAAAAAAACAGGCTTGAGTAGACGCGGGGGAAATCACGCGAGGCTGCAGGGCAAAAAGCTTGTGTGAAATTGACACGTACCATCAGGGCAAAAGGGAAGAGCGAGTGTGGAGCAGCACTTGTGGGAAATCAGTCTCAGCGTAGCCTACCTTAGAGGCAATGCTCCCTCTAAGCTGTGGAGTCTTGTGAGCAAAAATTCTACTTTGTGAGCTACTGGTATTAAGGTTCTGAGCAAGCGATTTGCTACTGCATAAATTAGTTTGCTCTGGAGCCATCCTTCCTGAGCTAAGACAAAAATGTGTGAGCCGGAGGCTAAAAAACTGTGAGCTAGCTCACACTAACTCAGCTTAGAGGGAGCACTGCTTAGAGGGCTGTTGTGAGGATGAAACAGAGGACAGCAGAACGATATAAGCTATATCGGGTCCCCGAAGGGAGGAAGAAAGGTAGGGTATAAATGAAGAAAAATGGATAGATAAAAGGATACCTTGGCTTGCAAACTTGTGTGATTTCATGGTTGGACCTAGGCAAGATTCCCTCTAAGCTGTGGAGTCCTGTGAGCAAAAATTCTACTTTGTGAGCTACTTGCATTAAAGTTGTGAGCGAGCGATTTGGCTCCTGCATAAATTAGTGTGCTCTGGAGCCACCCTTCCTGAGCGAAGGCAAAAATGTGTGAGCCGGAGGCTAAAAAGCTGTGAGCTAGCTCACACTAACTCAGCTTAGAGAGAACACTGGACCTAGGTCTCATTTTGCTATGTCACCTACTAACTGTCCCCCAAATTCCAGGCACGGCCTCAACAAGACTTTTTTTTTTTTTGCCATCAAGTCACAGAGGGTTTTAAGGCAACGGATCTTCAGAGGTGATCGGCCGTTGCCTGCCTTCACGTCATGACCCTAACATTCCTTGGAGATCTCCCCTCCAAATATTAGCCAGGGCTGACCCTGCTTAGTTTCCAAGACCTGATGAGACTGGGCTAAGTCTGATCCCTAAACCAGGGGGCTGGATTCCCAAGGCCCACAAGAGACCACCAAAGGCCACCCCCTCCCCCGCAGTCCTTTTGGCCGGCGGCTTTTGTCCAGTTTGGTGTAGTGGTTAAGTGTGTGGACTCTAATCTGGGAGAACCGGGTTTGAGTCCCCACTCTTCCACTCGCACCTGCTGATGTGACCTTGGGTCAGTCACAAGCTCTGGCACAGCTGTGTTTTTTTTTGGGGGGGGGGGAAGGTGCCGGAACTCTCAAGAGGGAAACGAAGTTTTCAATCTGTATAACTGAAAACTCATGAAGGTCTAAACATTTTAAAAAAGAATTTTGTCGAAGAGGTTCCGGAACTCCATTCTGGAGCGTCCCCCCCAGAAAAAAGGCCCTGCTTCTGACCCAGAGAAAAGGAAGACACACGCGCAGGAGAGAGCTCTGGTCGTCCACGGGGAGCAGCGGCCGGCCATCGACTGACCGCACTTACCAATCGGATACTTGTACTTGTCTGTGTCAATCCCTGCGTACATCACGCCGCCAAACAGGTCGTTGAGGATCCCCGCTAAGGCCTCTGCGTTCAGCATGCCATGAAGGGCTCCCACAAAGACAGTTTTGCCGGGATCAAGCCTCTGCGTTGGGCTGCACACAAAGTTGCTGTCTTCCAGGACCCAGGGAATGACCTGCACCTGGAGTCGGGGGG